ATCAGTAAATATTGAAGCTAATTTATTCAAAATTGATGCTTGCAACAATTCTTTACCAAGAAATACGTTTATGGTAAAATTTTGGAAAATGGGCGTGGTACCGCCCACTTATGATTTGTACCAAACTCGGTATTTTTATTGTGCTTGCCACATAAAAGAAAACCGTTGAAAATTATTGGAATGGGACTAAAATTACGGCCGCTTTAAACCTACTCATATAACGGTAAATTTCAGAAATCCTTGAAACTTCAATAATTCGAAATTTAAGGACGCTTATTTACTCAAAATTGATACACCCCGGCTTACCATCTAGCGGTAGCTTTCGGAAAGGTGAAAACATATATTTAATACGTGCGCCGGGTATTTAACGTTCGGCTCCGCCCGAACTTAGACTTTCTTACTTGTTTTACATATGTATTTGTATGGGTACATAATAATGAGTTTCTTCAGTTTATTTCTGGTTATTAGGTTATCTGATTAACTATATGATTGTTGCTGTATTTAATTGTTGGCAACTAAATACATAATAGAGTTCTAAAATCATATAACCCGTTAACAAATTCACACGGAAATATTTACGATTTTACTACATGCATAAGACGCTTTATTTGTATGGAGAAAATTTTTTGTTAAGGTACAAAGCAAGACTCACCCTGGAAATGTTCCATTGGTAATAAAACATGCCCTGCGAAGAATTTTTAAAATCGGGTAACGGAAAGCAGTGCCTCAAGCGCTATGAAGTTCGGCATTTTTGTCACAAATCACATTAGGTCAAATAATTACTCTTTCTGTGCGAAATTAATAGCTAAAATTTAGCATTATTTTAGTATTAAAGGATGGAAACCGTTAAAAAAGTGTAGTCAGTAAATGAAATGTAAAAACATGACTTGGCTTTCGTAAAACACATTTTCTTATGTTCAAATGATGAGTATGTGTGTTTATGTAGGTAGTCTCGAAAACATTGTCCAAATAGCTTGTTTTTGAAACAAGTTATTTTCTTACCATACTCAACCCGGAGGGGGTTGAGCTACATAAATAGAATAAGTATGGTCATATGTTCATAAATGGTTTCATCTAGGGATTAAAAAAATATATTATCGAAGTCCCTTAATTAAAAAAATAGATTTACTACATGTTTCGCAGATATGCCTGGAGGCATAAAACACTTTATTTTCACTTAAAATTTTTTCCCAAATTGTCCACCGATATTATTTATATTCAGAATGCAAATGCTGTATTGTAACACATTTACTAAAACCGCTGGTAACTTCCTGAAAAGAATATTTTTGAAACTAATTTACGAAAAGAATGTTCAAAGCTCTATTCACCTTGAGCAAAAAATTTCGAAATTGCAATCCGTAGATTCTCTCAAGGATTTGCCTTTTTGCGAAGGCTGCTCATCAATAGTATTTGCGAATCGGCGCGAGTGTCTTTGTAACATAGCTATGCTACAGGAGATGAAATGTAATCCAAATTGAGGCTGGTATTTTTTTTGCTATCACATACTTCCATTTTCACTATTTATCACCATTAAAATTGACTATTTACCATGTTAGCTTTCGCATTTTGCTGGTCGACACAGTTGGCTTTGATTTCTAAAACAACTTCATCAGTAATACCATGTTCTGACCGACATCGAAAACATGTTTTCGTTGCTAAACATGGTTTTCGACTTAAAACTTGTGTTTTCGTCCATGTAAAATCTGTCAAACTAAAACCAGTTTTCGCTGAAAACTACTTGAAAACTCACGTTCCACTCATTCCAATCGGTGTCTTCACTAGTTTTTTTTCGATTATTTATCGAAGTGGAAGTCATATTTTATCATCTTTAATACGCCATTTCGGATTTATTGTTAATTGGCTGGCAAAAGTAAAATAAGAATGAAAGTAAGAGGTTGCTAATGAAAAGAAAATGAGGGAAAAGCATTTTGGTTATGTTTTTGTGTAGCAAAACTGCAATCAGAGGTTGTAAGAAATGTCAACGAAAACACTAACAGCCGGTGTGAACAGCCTTCAGCCCACAATCCCAAAACACGTTTTCAAAGTGTTTTCGTTGTCGGTCAGAACATGGTATAAGAAACGGGGTAATTCCATAATTTTCCGTCTTTGTTTGATAAATAATTGCAAAAAATATGCGTTTTTTTCTGCTAAGAGTTTCATGAAGCTTCCGCAAATATCAACAGCACCAAATTTGTTTTTAAACATGGTTGACAACCGAAGAAAGCCTTTCTGTCTTTGAACATCCAATCAGCCAAACTACAAACATCTCGCCTTTTGTAATAGCATGATAGCCCAAAAAAAAATTCCAAGTTTATCCATTTCCATTTCCACTTTGTTTGCCGAAAGTTAACAAAATTGTAAAAGCTTACATTAAACCATAATTGGAAATTAATCAAAAATTTTTTGAGGTTATGCAAATAAGTCAGCTTGATAAAAAGTCACTTTTTTAAATTAGGACATAGGTTCTCACTTTTCCATTAAAATGTTTCTTTAATTATTCGAGCCACAGTATATACAGTATTAAACCTTTTTGAGTACTCCTCGGGGGTAAAATCTGATCAGGGTTGATAATGAGAAGGATCATGAATTTTGTTGATTCAGAGTAGTATACAAAATTATTCTGGTATGAAAGGGAGCAAAAACCGTACTATGGCAGAGTGGCACAAGTCATGACTGTGTAATAGTGCCCGAAACTATTGCAAAAGTGTAAAAACATTGCAAATTTTTGTCTATTATTATAGATACTAGTATAGATTATCATAGTTCAGTGTATAATTTGTTATATTACACCGCACATGATAATGAACTGTTAAATGTTGAAAACGCTTGTAACTTGTAGATCACTCAAACTTGGGTGTGCTTAATGGACTTTCTGGGCGGATGTGCTGGCAGTCATTGGGATCTGTATAGCTATACAAACCTTGTTGTTTTTTTAAATAAAGACTTAAATATATTCGGAAATTTAGAATTTGGCTTGATAAATTCACAAAAATTACGGTTTTCATAAATAATTTAATCTTACAATGGACTTTTTTTATTTTAAACTTACATTTCAGAAAACTCCATTCAATGCTATAATTACGATTTGAGTTTCCCAGTTTATAAAACACAAGCGTTATTTATGTACTTAACTATTGATATTATTCTTCATTACGCATGAATATCAGCATACATTAAAGATGAATATTATACTTAAGCTGTGTGCGAGTTTACCTAAATTTTAGTACCTAAACTAATATTCCACTGGGAGTTTCCAGCACTGCTACAATTTAGGAAAACAGCTGCTGAAACTGTGGAAGTTCGTTCGACAACCTAAATTGTTTGTTTTGGAATTGTTGCTTTTAATAAATATATCTAATGAATAATTTTGCGGTAGCTTTGGGACTATTTAATAATATAATAAATTTGCAACAGAAAAGGAGAATGTTCCATCCTGGCATCTATAAAAGAATCAGTTTGCTCTTCTGACCCTGCGAAATAATATATATCCATCGAATTACACATATACCTATCTGAATGCAAAAATCAAATAAATTTATACTTACATCTTTCTGAATATTTTCTTTTTTGTGCCATAGCAATGATAAAAATTATTTCAAACATCAAAAAATCGTTGTTCACTTAATCGCTCGCTCAAATATATTTGACTGTTCAATTTAGGTTGAAAAGTATGCTCGCAGAAAATCTAAATTGTTCCTATTCACTGCGTTACCGACACTTTCCAGTGATTTAGGATTTTTCTCTATTTAGGTAGCAATTTAGACGTACTCGCACACAGCCTTAACCTACATTTTGTTCATAAATAACACATAATTGTGTATATTTTATCCTCGAAATGTACCTTTTCTAATCGTGAGGCGAAATTCCCCACAGTAAGTGTTGCCGTGCGTGCCAAACGAACACGCTGCACACAACCCAAAAGTACTCCTCGGGGACCAAATGGTCAAAAACTGCGAAACGGTTTATTACTGTATATACTGTGATTCGAGCTTTATAAAAAATACACTTAAACTTAAGAAATAAACCGGTTGCGCAAACGACGTGTCAATAACGTTTTGAAAGTGTAACTTTGTTTGATTGCTGTCTAACGGTGATTTTTATTTTACAAAAACAAAGTGAAGTTTCAGTTATTTTGGAGTATTTCCTACAGAATGGCATCAAACAATAATGTAAAACTGCATTTACGAAATTGGACTTTCGCACAGTCAAATGAATCATTTGACCTATTGTGTAAAGTGGTCAAAATTGCCTATAAGCCAGTGGGCAATTTAATATATTTTAATGGCACTTACAGCCAATTTCACGAAAGCAATTTAAGTGACAATTGAGCAGTCAATTGACAGAAAACCAAATCAATTTAAATTTAAATTACTGGAGAAACCGGCTATTATTGTGCTTCTGCCTGGTGGATATAAATATGAAAAAAAACGTTGATTTCTCCTTAAATTTTCAAAATGTACGCTTTTTTCTCCGGAAATCACAGTTTTCATTGTTTTTAAACGCAAAGCAGTTTTTTAAGAAGTAGCATTCTTACATTTACACAGAAAATTTAAATTTTAAAGATGTGAATTTGAAAGTTTATTAAGTATAATTTTTCGAACCAGTTTAGTCAAAACTTTTAAAAAATACTCTGGTCTTACTATCTAGTAGCTTGATTTTTTGTAAAGAAAAAAGCTTGCCAAAAAACTGTTATAACCGACAAAAACTTCACTTTCACAACTCTAAATCTTCCCCACTAATTATCTCAAAATTTTTACGCTATACGGCTTATCTGAAAACGGTTGCGAACCCAAAATAAAGTTTAAAGTTATATTTCAAACTTAAAAATTTACCTACGGTGTAACAATTATAAAGTTTCGAGGTGGTAACTCTTGTAACGATCAAATTATTATTTTGTCATATGTCTATAAAAATCGAGTAAAACATATGTTATACATGTGCCAGTAAAATGTTTGATTTTCATTATTAAAAAAAAATAACTTCTCAAAATATAGAAACATGTAAATTTACGAGAAAGAGAAAGTGAAACCTTTTCCTGTAGGAATATATGTAGGCGATACTAAACCGTGTTGTGTTAAAGACTTCTTAAAAGATTTTATTGAGGAAGTTCTTGCGCTAAAAGATGGATTTATTTTGAGTGATAAGAAAATTAATATTTTGTTCCGCTGTTTATCATGCGACTCGCCGGCTAAAGCTTTCGTTTGTGCTGTCCCAGGACATACTGCATCGCATGGTTGCACTAAGTGCACACAAGTATCGAAGAAAATTGGCCATGTGCTAACATACAGTACTCTTAGTGGCACTTTAATTTCCGACGTAGACTTTTCTTTTAGAAAATATCCAAATCACCACAGCCACAAATTCAAAGATAAAAAACTCCCCTTGAAGAAATAGGATTTAATATGGTAACGCAAACTCCTTTAAGCATGCACCTTATCGATCTTGGAGTTACAAGAAAAATGCTTATTCGAATCATTAAGAATAGAACAGAAGAGACGACTCCAAAAGCAAATATATCCAAAATATCTTCTGAACTCGTGAAATTAAGAAAATTTTTTCCCAAGGAGTTTCCACGGAAACCTAGATCATTAGATGAAATACATAATTGGAAGGCCACTGAATTTCGTCAGTTCCTCGCCTATACAGGAGTTGTTGTACTTCACAATAACGTGCACAAAGAACTTTTCTATGAATTTTTGCTGTTACATTGCGCTTATAGACTACTGAGTAATTCCCGACATATTTACAATAATGTAAATATAGCTAATGAAATACTTTAATTATTTGTTGAAAATTTCCCTGTTGTATTCGGTCCAGACAGTGTCTCTTTTAATGTACACAATCTATTACACATAGCAGCTAGCACAGAAATGTATGGACCTCTCACGTCTTTTTCGGCATATGATTTTGAAAATAGACTTCAAATTTTAAAAAGGCATGTTCGAAAACCATCGGCGATTCTTCAACAAATTGTGCAGATTGTAGAAGCTTTTGTCAATGATTACTTAATTTCTTGCAAAGAACCTAATAATGTTTTTTCTGTTAAAGCAGATATTCCTGTAAAAATTGAAGCAATAGTAAAAGATGATATCTACGTTGAAGGACGGCGTTTGTTTGATTTAGAGAATTTTTTCCAAAAACCCCTAAATTCTTGTGAATTAGGCATTTTCAAAACAAATCTACGTTTAGGTGAAAAAGAAAGATTTTTAATGAAAGATGTTCAGTAGAAATTTCTATGCTTACCTTATGATAGTAATTTTGTAATAATTCCAATTCTACACAGCTGCCTTCAGAAAAATGTCGAGCCATAATACCCATCTTTCCAAAGGAACACTGAAGTATTTCCCCCAACCAGGTAATTTTTATAGTTAAGCATTGTATACTATACTGATAACATAATTATTTTCTTATTTTTCAAGTTAATCAAAAATGTCACAGCTGTGAAGAATTATCAAAAAAATTGAAATAATTGAAGATAAAAAACCATGTGAAAGTGGCGAGTCCATAGTTCTTCATGCTTTTCGCAGATGTTTTCGAATCAGGCTTTTTGAAAATTTCAGCATTAAGAGCTAGAAGCTTTGAAAAAGGTTTTCCCTCAGAACTTTGGCTGTTGGTTTTAGTTTGAGCCCCTGATGGAATTTTGTGAGAAACTGTATGCATGTATCTTATTGATGTACGTATATTTTTACAGATGCTGCTCAAAAGCAATATAATACTTTACTTGATATTTTGGCGGAACACAAAGTTTTATTGGATCGCACAGTTGCCCAAAATGCAGTTTGCACATACATAATGGGCATTTTTCCAATTAATACCGATGAAAAATTGAAAGAATTTGACACCCTTTTAGCTACGCAAGCAGATCCATATGTGAGTATTTTATTTTACCGTGACACGAAGTGAATAAAAAATTTTACTTTTCGGCTTTATATATGATAGATACGGCAAATCAATTTACTTCTCGGTGGTAATGCTGAACGCAATCTACATCAGGTATTTGGCCACGGTATAATTATGAATTTCTATGTCGACGGATCTTTCGGCAAAAAGCGTTTGCAGGATTACAGCAATGTGTTTACGGCTATAATAGGTAACTTGTTAACCGAGGATTTAAATTTTTTTCATATTTTAACTTTTTTTTTCAATACCCAGATGCTATATCAACTTTCAGCGAATCTTCTGACAAAACATTGAGAGCAGTCTTTCAACGACAGAAAAAAAAATTTTTTAAACAAACAAGTCGCAACAAAGGCAGAGACAAGGAACAACATGAATATGAAGGCGACTCTTCTGACAAAGACCAATAATTTTTTTATCAACTCAAAATGCTTAAAGGTTTAGCCAGCCTGGAAAAAATTAGCTTTTTTATTCTAAAACATATTGATACCAAGAAATATGTATAACATATGTACATATATGAAATCTTTGAAGTTGTTACTAAGGTGTGTTGATTAGGTAATAAGAAACTTGTACCTAGACTTGTAACACACAAGCTTTAAATTTAAAACACAAAAACACCGTCTTGTGTTAAAGACTTTAATGAAAATAATTTAACGTTTGTTTCTGAAATAAAGCATCTAATTTTAACAAAATAACTGGGCCTGTTTGGACTTATACCCTTAAAAGGTGTATTAAATAAGGTGTGATTGACTCCTTGTATAAAATAAACAAACGATTCAAAGAACTTGATATTATAGTACATTTCGATCACACTTTGTTAAATACATTTTGTACCCGACGCAATATTAGTATTCTGGAAATCTAGGAAAAAGTTCCAAAAATGTTGACTACAGTTATTAAAATGTACTACTGAATCTCTGGTTCCAATGCCTCCATATGATCCCATAAGAACTACACAGTCAGTAGTAGGAAATCTAATAAAAAGTTAGTCAATTATTAAAATGTAGTAGTGAATTACCCTTCCAATGTCTCCATGTGGTTCCATAAGAAGCACCTAATTAATAGTTCTAACGGCACTGGTGGATTCTCAATGACTAGCAAATGTTAAATGTCTACAGCAGAGAGCATTGCCTGGGGTGTAATTGGTCAGTAGTACTGGTGACAAAGTCAATACTAAATCAGTACAGTTTTACTATCGACATTTCCTTCAGGGAAACTATGCTGCGCCACTTTGGACGCCGGGGACTAGTTGGACGCAGTGGACGAAGCTACAGACTTGTCGCCGCACTCCGGACAGCGACTGGTGGGTGCCTTCTGATGACGCCTGAGCACCACCTACACAGCGCTCCCCGTAAGGGAACACAACAAAATGCTTTGTAAGCAATTTCTGGTGGGGTGTCACAGAAGCGAACACCCAAACAGACCTCTGCTTCAGGAGGAGCCTCCGCCCAAGCACGTCAGAGGGCACCTATTCGTATACAAGGGCGCAGTCCAGCAATACGTAGATCAACCACTGGACCCGACGACATACAGACGAGCCATTAACGACATCCATAGAGAGTCAGTCACCACCTACCTTGAGTCTCGACCTATGAATGCCGTAATAGGAGCCCAATCACCACCTGTAGAAGAGACGGAGCTTCAACTGCCAAGAGAGACCCACGTTACCCTGGCTGAATTACAGTCTGGATATTGTAGCCGCCTCAACAGCTACCTGTCCAGACTCGACCCCAATATCCCCAATGAGTGCCCGGCATGTGGAGAATCCCCTCACGACACCAACCACCTCTTCACATGCCAGCTCAATCCGACTCAGCTAACACCCCTCTCCCTCTGGTCCGACCCCATTGAAACAGCTCGTTTCCTGGGCCTCCCGTTAGTTGAGCTTGATGAAAATGATTGAATGTTGACCCGAAAAAGGCGGGGCTTAGTAGTGCCGCTACAACAACAACAACAACAACAACAACAACAACAACAACGACACTATTTATTAGATGGCACATTCAACAAGCCAATGTGCCAAAATGCGGGTATAAACAACAAATAAAACACCTCTTTGAGGTAAAATTTTCGAGTGACGAGGGCTGAACTAGAAACACAAAATTTATGATATCAATTTCGTGACGAAAATTATACGCATTTTTTAACTGCCTTTGAAACGTAGGAAAAATCTTTTTTATTCATACGAATCGTTGCAAAAGTTCTGTTTTTTATTTTGTACTTCTAGTAGTAGACAGAATTTCGCAACGTTCCGAATAAGTAAAAAAAGATTTTCCGTACGTTTCAAAGGCAGTTAAAAAATGCATATAATTTTCGTAACGAAATTGATATCATAAACTTTGTGTTTATAGTTCAGCCTTCGTCACTCGAAAATTTTACCTCAAAGAGGTATTTTATTTGATATCAATTATTTTGGGGTAGCAAATTTAAAATCGACGAAAATACAAACAATAATCAAATGGCCTTGTTCATAAAAAATAAAGTAGCTTTATAAAAGGTTTATAAATTGAAAAATGTATGAAAACGTCAATTTGTAAAGCTCTGTAAACCTACTTTATTTTTTATGAATAAGGCCTTAAATGTTTTATTTTTCTTAAATAAATTGCTAAAAATATTATCTAAATATGTACTCAAATCGATGTGTCCATTGAAACATATAATTTTTCAAATACGGAATAAAGCGAAAAGAATGATCACATCTTTTGTATTCGAAAAAAAAAATAAATAAAAAAAAAATAGATATGATAAAAACTTATCAACTTTGGATACAATAAACAACTGTATTCGTCTGATAGTCTCGTAGTTTATTTTTGTTAAGATTTCTACCGAGTGTGGGGCGCACACATGTACTTTTTTTAAAGAAGTTTTGCTTCTATCACGTGCACGGTGTTGCACTCGTGCCATTAAATTAATGCTGTTTTCTCAAGTAGTTTTGCTCAGTGGCAATTTATACATATGTATATGCAGTAACGGCACATTGGCTGAACTAAATGCATTCATACATGCATATTTATGTACAACTATAGGTAAATACCAGGTACGTTAAGTGCGGGTGATAAACCCATGTAGCATAGTTAAATGCTGTGTACATACCTGCAATTAAAAAGGGAAAAAATGTTGCAATTTCGGCATGTGACTGAAAAAAACTCTAAAATACACACAAACTGTGGTTTCCAAGACATGTACGAAGTGATTAGCACAGCTGCATCCTTCAACTTGTCAACTCGCGGGAAATTCCCCGCTTTCCAGGGAATCTCGGTTTAAGTGGCAATCGGGGAATGGGCAATTTTTTTCGGGGAACTAGGTATGTTATTTTTATATCTTAAAGTAACCAAATTAGACGGATATGAAAATTATTAACCATTTGACCCTTTTTGGAGCGACATTTTTTCAATTCGAGTTTGAACCTAGAATAAAATCGACTGACCAGTTTTTGAGAAAATGCCCGAAATGTATATCTTCAGCAGCCTGATTTTTAGTTTTCAGGCGATAACGTTATGACATATTTATATTTCACAAACACAAAAGATGGCTTGTTTGAAGGCCCTTCTACTGATATCCACATCAATGACATGGACTGAGTAGTGCGGCCTGAGTGGTAGTTTAAAAAATTGCCTTTTTTCGAATTTCAGGCAGCAGCCACGCCCACAAAGGCATACGAATCAAAACATCCTGCAACAAAACGTTCTTAGTTTTTTTTGTACTTTAATTCCTGAAAGTTTGAAAAAAATTAAATGAAGGTACGTACAGACGCCACATACATACCAAAGCATCTCGTAGCGGAGACACGAACCAAAACACATTTACCTCTATATCTTTCGAAACCGGCAAAAGCAAAAAAGCGTTTTTTTGTTTCGCAACACTTTAGCCTAATTTTGAAGAGACCGGTTAATCGTTTATGTAGCTTAAATACATTTTCTGGATCCACTTTGCAAGACCTTTCCAACGATATCTCAAACATGTCGATTGGACATCTGGATAAAAACTTCAAAATCTCGTGTATATATAAGCGAGTCATTTCAGCATTCTACTGTGGCTGCTTTCGTCACTCGCGCGCACTGCCGTGTGCTGTGATAATTGATTATTTAATATCGGAACCGAGATCATGTAACAATTTTGTAGCGAGCTTCACTTTTTGCCTTGCTGATAAGAAAAATGAAAATCATTGCTAAAATATTTACATTGAAGTCAGCTCGAAACAGTAATCGTCATCATATAAAGAGTTTCATCTAACAGTAGTCGGAAAACGACATGTCTTTATTTTTCAAAGTTCCCGCTTCCGCGCGCGCCGCCACGAAGCTAAGCAAACTTAATGTTTGAAAGAGCAATAATGTCAATGGATTTTATTTCGCTTTTGAAAAGGTAATAATGTCAATTGACTTTATTTCCCACCCCGGTGCGGTTCCGTTGATCTTATTACCTGTCACAAATACTGTCATCGTCATTTGAAAAGACCTTAGTCGAAATTTGAATTGAGTTTGCGTCTAACCTAGTTGAACTTTGAAAAATAAAGACATGTCGTTTTCCGACTACTGTTAGATGAAACTCTTTATATGATGACGATTACTGTTTCGAGCTGACTTCAATGTAAATATTTTAGCAATGATTTTCATTTTTCTTATCAGCAAGGCAAAAAGTGAAGCTCGCTACAAAATTGTTTTCGCATACTACTGCCACAGAGCTTAAACGATGTGCAAGCCTTGGCATGTATAGCAACGCAGAACATTTCGTGGAATGCTCCGATCTGTTTCAGTTAATAAACGACTGGTTCGATATTTTTAATGTAAAAACACCGCAAAAAATACCCGAGAACTAAGCAAAGCGTATGGGCTTGCAATGGCTGAACAAAACGCTACGCTATTGTCTATGAGTACGATTATCACAAACTTATTACCATTTCGGTTTAGCGGAAAACTGCTACCATTTCAACGAGCGGTTTTACAGAATAAAGCGGCCTTTCCACTTTTGCATAATTACGTTGAACAGAACTATGAAATGAAGTTTATTTTAACCAGGGTTCGGATTTGCCTCATTTTAGCCCCTCGCTCGCTCATTAGTTTCCTCTGAGCTTGCGCAACTCACGAGGCTGTTTGCAAACGAGCACTCGTTAAGTACGAGCGCACGCGCTGAGCAGCCCGCAAGCGAGTAAGCAAACGAGGGCAGCGCAAGAGTAGAGCGGCAAGCAAACGAGGACCAGCGTTGCCGCTTTAGAAATTTTTAACCAAAATTGGTAATTTTTTTATTTATTTATTAAACTTGGTAATATGGTAATTTATTTTTCAATTTGGTAACTTTTTCGATTCAGTTCTACATGTCACATAGGTCAATACAGGATCTGATTCCACATTAGGAAGTGGCCCGTAAGCGTAAGTTTCGCAAGACGAAAAGTTGTTCCAACAACTTGCTTAAAAGTGGCTATTGCTATATATACCGAGTTCTATACCGGAAGGTTGTGGGTGGTCGTGCCTTTCCTTGTCAGT